CCCCCTCCCCTGACAAAGCGCCATTGCACACACATGGAAGGGGGGTTTCAGGAACCCCCTCCATGGACTTTCGACAACCGCCACCCCAACTGGAGGAGTTACGTGGGCATGACATAATTAAAAAAAGAAAAAACATATTTTCAAATCCACAATTGCAATGAATCAACAGCCACTGTGCGGGACGATTAACAATGAACACAATGAACACATCTGCATCGAGGACTGTGTGAGGGTATTCACCATTTCATATTTCTGCAAATTTCGTTTGCGAAAACAACAACAACATTCCATACAAGGACTGCATTAAAGACAACACCTTTAATACACGTCTGCATTCCATTTCGGGGAGATGACACCAAAACACATGTTTTTCAGAGAGAGAGAGAGAGAGAGAGAGAGAGAGAGAGAGAGAGAGAGAGACGATGTCCATAGCGTCATTACAAAAAGGGAAGTGCATTGTGCACTTAAACAACACCAATTTAAATCCTACAATGACGGAATTATCCGTCCCACCAACCGAGAACCGTCTACGGCAAACAAAAAAGAAAACGTCAATGTACACACGACGACTCATCGACCCGATCGGATCACCACCCACTTCCATCGCCACGACGGCCAATCGAGACACGGTGACGGTCTGCACACGGCTGCAACGACGACGGAAAGGCTCACACTTTCGCGCCATCCACATCCATGGTAGCCACAATGCGCACAACGAAGGCGACAACAACTCTAACGTTCACGAATGGCCTTTGCTATCTCCAACAAAGCATGGCACATCAGTTTGCAGACTTCGTCCGATGCTGCGTAGTGCTTTTTTTGCACTTCGACCTCCACTTCCAATGCCTTGCACTACCGGATTTGGATGTAGCACTGGCGCTTGCTGGTGCTCTCCATCGTCGACGCCATTAGCGCCCCGTGGTTCTCCATGCATTCTGTCATCGCGTCAAAAGTTTGCTGCCTCGTGCTCTTCCTCTTCCCGAAACCGCTTGGGCTACCCGTCGTTTGAGAAGAACCTTTCTTCGACCCGTCATCGTCGTCGTCCTGCCCTGCAGCAGCTTCCCCATCGCCCATAGATTCAGGATCCGCAGAAGAGGTGGACGGCAGCCGCACACCACCTGAAGCACCGGTGTCGGGCACTGTCGGCGACGTTCTTCGGGTGTATAGTGTGGTTCTTGCCCGTGTACCCCACTATCTCGTCGCAAACCGCACGATCCATGTTGAAGTTGAAGCCCTTGGATGTCCTCTCCTTCGCCGACAATTGGAAGAAGTTGTGTTTCCCGGGCAAGCCATTGAAGTGATGCACCTTTTTGAATTGTTGCATTAAATTGTCCCACTTCTTCTCACACTTATCTGCGTCTTTGTCGACGCCCAACTTCTTCAACCTTTGCACCACATCTAACCACTTCCATTCTCGCGGCTTCATCCAAGCGTAGGCATGACCCATTCCCTGCATGTGTGCATCCTGGTCACGTTTAGCCCTGATGAGGGCTACAATGTGGTCGACGGACCAGAAGTGTCGACCTCCTTCCGCGTCACCATCCCCGTCGGCATCTCTCCCCTTCCCCGCCGCTTTTTTGCCCCGACGACCATTGCTGGCAGATGCCTTTGTCTCCCCGCCCCTGCCTCCCATGCCGTCTTGCCTCAACGGCGAAACGTAGCCTTCGTCTTTCTCCCCACCCTCTCCATCGTTGCCATCGTCGTCGTGATCGTCCGCATCCAGAATCGGTGCCTCCTTTTCCTTTTCGTGCTCCCCCACACGCAGTCGCTGCACCCCCCGAGTTATGGATTCCTCGTGCCCCGGCCGGAGCTCTAGCCGGTGTTCAGCCCACACCTCCCTCCCGTCACGTTCGTCACCAATATCAGCGAAGCCAGCATCCTTCTCCCCGCATTCGCCACGACGATGGGCCGCAGTCGAACCGACGGACAGGGGAAACGGAAACTGCATCCACTGGGGGCGAGCGGAGGCAACCCTCGACACAGATGGCGACCGAAATTGCTGCCTGGGAGGATCCCTGTTGTTCCCCGATGCCTCCCAAACCGGCATTGGAGACTTCGATGATCGCACAACAGCCGTCACTTGCTCACCGTCGTCGTTGGGGTGGGGACACACGATGACCATTCGCGACCTGGCCGACGACCTCCCACTACAGAGCCCGAATGACGGATTCACGCCACCATCGCCTTCGTCTCCGCCCAACCCCTGCTGGAGGAGTTCGGTGTACGATTGCCGATACGCACCGTCGCGGCTCCCGCATAGCTCTGTAGCCGCCCACTCCTGGGTGGACTCACTTCCCAGCGGCACGGTCCGCGACTGTGTGTCATCCACCTCCTCGTCGGACGTATCAAGCAGATGTTGCAAGTGCCTCGGCAGTTCGCTCACTTCATTCGACAGGACAACGCCACCTTCTTTATGGTGGACGTGACGGATCTCTTACACTATGATCCACCCTGTCCCGACGCCGAGCTCATCCCTCTGGAACCAGATCCCCCCTCTATCTCCATGGCTCCCATCTCTACTTCCGTCCCTCCGYCGTCCRTYGAGTCCACCCSGYCRTCGCGCGCTGACGCTRACGCTGAGGAACTCGCACGATATACGGCTGACTTGGAGCCCGCAGTTCGTGACCTCATCCGAGAGTACCACGACGTTTTCCCATCGTCGTTCTCGTACGCCGGCATCCCACCGATGCGTGACGTCGAGCACTCCATTCAGCTCGTGCGTGACTATCGTGTTCACCACCAGGCACCCTACAGACTCTCGATCCCCGAGGCCACCGAACTCAAGAGTCAGCTTGAGGAGCTCCTGAGACTGGGTTTCATTAAACCCAGCAACTCCCCGTGGGGTGCACCCGTCCTCTTTGCTCGCAAAGCGGATGAAACTCTTCGTCTCTGCATCGACTACCGCGGCCTTAACCGCTACACGGTTAAGAACAGCTACCCCATGCCTCGTTCCGATGAGCTGT